GCAAGGAAGCTCATAGCTCAAGTACCAGGAACCGGAAGTCAGACGAACAGGAGCCAGCTGCAAGATTCAGAGTGAGCAAAAGCCCACCAGGCTTGCCAGAACACCCATGTATATTCGATGCAGGCCACACGCCCAAGGAAACTTCCTTTCAACTGATTGGCTACTCACAGCAGATCCCATCATGGAGGTGATCACAGCATCATATGGCTGCCAAACCACTGAGAATCATGGCCCAGCCAAGTTGACACACAACCTTAACCGTCATACCTGTCAACTTTTCCATGATTTTAGTTTCAACCTTTCAGTGTATCTTTCAAACAGCAGTACTTGGATATTTTTGTCTCTTATATTTCTAATTCAGTCTGATAATCTTTAACTAGAATGTTAAATCCTTTTACATTTATTGACTAAAGTTATTTTGTATTTTTTATCCATCTTTTTTCTGAATTTTTATCATTTTTTAAATAACAGCTTTATTAAGATTTATCTCATACATCATAAATTTCACCCTTTTAAAGTGTACAATTTCAGTATAGAGTTGTGCAACCATCAATACAATCAATTTCAGAACATTGTCATTACCACAAATAGGAACCCTGTACCCATTGGTAGGCGTACCTCACCCTCTGCTTCCACCCTGAGAGCCCTAAGCAACCACTAATCTATGTTTTGTCTCTATACATTTGCCTATCCTAGACATTTCATATAAATGGAATTACACAATGTTTGGTCATTTGTGACTGGCTTCTTTCACTTAGCATAATGTTTTCCAGGTTCATCCATGTTGTTACATGTAACAGTTCATTCATTTTTATTGCCTAATAATATTCTATCATATGGATATACTGCATTTTGTTTATTTATTGATCAGTTATGAACATTTGGGTCATTTCCACTTTGGAGCTATTATAAATAATGCTGCTATAAACATCCACGTACAAGTTTTTGTAGGGAAATACGTTTTCATTTCTTTTGGGTATACACCTAGGAAAGATATTGCTGGGTAATACGGTAACTCTAGGTTAAACCATATGAAGAATAGTCAGATTGTTTTTCAAAGCATCTATACCATTTCACATTGCCACCAGCAATGTATAAGGGTTCCAATTTCTGCAAATCCATGCCAACACTTGTTATTGTCTTTTTGATTACAGCCATCCTACTGGGTGTAAAGCGATATCTTACTATGGTTTTGCATTTACTAATGTAAATGTAAAATTTTCTATTATGTCTTATGTCTTTTTTGTTCCTCTATTTTTCTATTACCGCCTTCTTTTCTGTCAAACAGATGTTTTCTCGAGTACCATTTTAATGCCATTGTGTCATTTGGGGCCCTGGTGGCACAGTGGTTAAGAGCTATGGCTGCTAACCAAAAGGATGGCAGTTTGAATCCACCAGCCACTCCTTGGAAGCCCTATGGGGCAGTTCTACTCTGTCTTATAGTGTTGCCACGAGTCAGAATCGACTCAACGGCAATGAGTTTGGGTTATTTTGGTGTCATTTACTCTATTTTTATTTTCTTAGTGGTTGCCTTGGGGGTTAAAATTAACACCTTACCTTAAAACAATCTAATGTGGATGAATACCAACTTAATTTCAATAATATAAAAAACTTTGCTTCAATATAGTTCTGTTCCCTTCCTCATACTTTGCAATATTACTGTCATACAAGTTACATCTTTATACTTTATAAGCCTATCAACATAGTTTTATTATTGCTTTATGCAGTTGTCTTTTATATGAGACAGGAGAAGGAGTTACAAACAAAAATACAAATACACTGACCTTTATATTTGCCTATGTAGTTACCTTTACCAGTGGTCTTTATTTCTTTATGTGGATTCAAGTTACTGTCTAGTGTCCCTTCATTTCAGGTTAAAGGAGTCTTTAACATTTCTTGTAGGGCAGGTCTGCTTGTGATGAATTTTCAGTTTGTTTGTGTTAATCTGGGAATATCTTGATTTCTCCTTCATTTTTGAAGAATAGTTTTGCTGTAGAATTCTTGGTTGACAGTCTTTTCCCTTCAGCAACTGGAATATGCCATCTCACTGCCTCTGGCATCCATGCTTTCTAGTGAGAAATCATCTGTTAATTTTATTGAGGACCTCTTGTACATGAGCAGTCATTTTTCTCTTGCTGATTTCAAGATTCTATCTTTGTCTTTTGACAGTTTGACTATGATTTATCTAGGTGTAGATCTCTTTTTGAGTTTCTCCTACTTGGAGTTTGTAAAGGATCCTGGATTTGCAGATTAATGCTTTTTGTCAAATTTTGGGAGTTTTCAGCTACTGTTTCTTCAAATATGCTATCCTTTCCTTCTGGGACTCTCATTATGTGTAAGTTGGTATGCCTGGTGGTGTCCCACAGGTCTCTGAGTCTGTTCATTTTTCTTTTTACTTTCTGTCCCTCAGACTGGATACTCTCGATTGACCTGTCTTCATTTTTACTAATAATTTCTTCTGCCAGCTCAAATCTGCTGATGAGCCCCTCTAGTGAACTGTATTTTCAACTGAAATTCTTCTATTTGCTTCTTTTTAAAATAATTCCTATCTCTTATTGCTATCCCCTGTTTGGTGAGACATCATTCTCATGTTTTCCTTTAATGCTTGAGACATCATTTCCTTTAGTTCTTTGCATATTATTTATAATTGCTTATTTAAAGTCTTTGTCCAGTATGTCAAACATCTGGGCTTCATCAGGGAGTTCCTATCTACTATTTTTTCCTGTGTATGGGCCATGCTTTGCAGTTTCTTTGCGTGTTATAATTTTTTGTTGAAAACTGGGCTTTTAAATTAATATAATAACTCTGGAAATCACATAGCCCCAGGGTTTCTTGTTGTCACTGTTTGTTGTTGTTGCTGCCTCTTGTTTAGTGGTTCTTTGTTTAGTGACTTCCCTGTATTAATCGACCCCAGGTCTTCCACATGGAAGGTGAGAATTCTATCACTGAACTGCCACTCCCCCTCAAAATAGACTTTAAAAGAAAATAAAAATATGAAATACTATTAATCAGAGCACAAAGCACACTTCTTAAAACCATGAAGAAAATCCCCAAGCCCTTAATAAAGCACAACACATTTCAGAGTAGAGGCCTATTAAAGAATGGTTAAGTACTTTGAGCACCACTTAAAATACTGAACTGCTATTGCACAATAAACTGATATTAATATGAAGCTAGAATTACCCTAGGACTTTAGTACTCAGGTTGGATCATTGGACCAGCATCACTTGGGAGCTTGTTAGAAGTGTGCACTCTCAGACCCCACACTAGAACTACTGAATCAATCTGTATTTTGTATTAAGATCCCCGGGTGATCCATATGCACATTAAAGTTTGAGAGTACTGTCCTAAGATATAATTTTAATTACTACTTCATAAATTATACAGCATTACTTTTTATTTCTTTATATTATAAATGACTGAGGTATTTGAACAAAGTTTCAGAAAATTTAATTTGCTCTCTGAAAAATCAATTTCTGTTTATGTATTTACATATGTATGCACTTAATACATTTCTCACCTTTATGTAGATATTTGAACATTTCTAAAATACTTATTAACGGAGTAGAGTAAACATGAATTTCTTTTTTTCTAATCTGAATAAGGTAATCAAAATTATGTATTTGAGAAACCAAGAAAATATTAGGTAATAATTTTTTTTAATTTAAAAACTATGAGATTTTAAAGAATTTTCTCTTTTTATTCTAGCAACATTCAAAGGATTCAATCGGCAAATTTCCATCCTAAACAACTTATGTTAGAACTCCCCTAACTTCTAAACTCTGGTTTTCCAGTACAGTAAGACACTCTAAATCTCTTTGGTTTGCTAAAACACTTGTAGCCTTGCATTAAAACACACACACACACACACACACACACACAACTGTAGCTATTTAAACACTATAATCATAGGGATCTTTTCATGTTTTAAAATGCAGGAATAGGAAAGTTTATACATTAATAAGCAGATGGTTTTTAATGTTTCCCAATTTACCGCTTCCAGAAGATATTTGAAAATTCCCTACTTATTCTAATACACTGTAATTCATCAAAGGGAACCCAGTACTTGGGAATGTTCAGGACTCTGGGATAGGTTCCTGAGTACTCTAAGACCATTTCAAGCAGAATATCAAAATTGTCGATTTACTAAATGGAGAACAAGCTTACTATAATTATCTAAAGACAAATTAAAATTCTGTGATACATTTAAAGTAGTTTTCAAACAACTTATGCCAAACATTTTCCTTACTTAGATATATCTTTAAATCTGACACTTTAGGGTGATTAACTATCAAACAGGGAGCAATGTTATCTTATTAACATTTATCTGAATGACTGTACTTTTAGGATGTAACACAATCATGAATATATTAATAGTTAATTAAATATGTGGACTTTTAAAAAAATTAGAATTACTTGAAAATGATTAAAATCTTTATTAAGAAGCTTAAAGTCAATTCAATCATATACCTTGCACTAAAATCTACAATAAAAAATAATCACAATTTGACTTATCCTACCCTGTATTTTGTGTAAGGTTTAGCTTACATTTATCTTATATAAAGAGTTTGTATTATATAGAAGTGACATCATTTTGTGACACCTAGGAAATGACTGGAGCCCTGGTGGCCCAGTGGTTAAGAGCTCGGCTGCTAACCAAAAGGTCAGCAGTTAGAATCCACCAGCCACTCCTTGAAAACCCTATGGGGCAGTTCTGCTCTGTTCTATAGGGTCACTATTGAGTCGGAAACCACTCAACGGCAATGGGTTTGGTTTGGTTTTGGGTTTAGGAAATTACTGGGTTTTAGAGGAAGCTTTATCTACTGAAAATAACATGGATAAAGAGAACTGGATTCAAAATGACTTACTTTGAATATTCTCTGGCAGTTTGACTATTTTTCCACACTAGGGAACAGACACAGGCTATTACGTACTGACAAAAAATGGATGCTGTGATGTTGAGAGAGGAAGAAAGGAAACCCCAGGCTTTAATTTTTTTGTTCAATTTTATCCACAGTTTCCATCAGTAATATACATTTAGTGTTCCATTTCTTTTTAAATGCATCAGAAAATCAATTATGATAGATCTGTGACCAATACAAACATTTCTGAATTCTTAAAAAAATTCAGTTAGAAAAGTCATTAAACTAGCATTCTGTAAAGATAATTATTAAACAAACAGTAATGCATTTTTACTCCTTATTTCAACTCTAACATATCCAACATCACTTATTCTTTCTTGTGCCATACAGTGATAAAATTTAACAGAAGAAGCTATTTACTGTATATTTTAGGGCCTAATAAAATATTTTAGTTCAATTATTCAACTCTCATCAAATCACAAATCCAATTCAAATAATGATAATCATTCTTCATTCAGTAATTGATGAAGTAAATATATAATAACCATAAAAAAAAGTTGTACACTGAAAAACTACTAAAAGAAATATATCTGAGCCAAGGTATAATATTGTTGGGGACTATGCTGTGAAACTGCCTTAGAGGTGATGTTGCACTATACAGTAAGTAAACAGCAATGGTATGGACCTCAGATGAACCCATCTTAAATGAAAAATTGTTTTGCAGTAAAGAATGCTACAAGTGAGGTTCTGGTGTATTTTCTCTTTAAAGTAATAACTGACAATTAAGTGAAATACAATAAGGAAATGGCCTACAAATTCACTAATATTTCAATGACATGAAGTAAGAAAATACTTGTAAAATATTTAGCATCTAGATTGATTAATAAGAGGACTTCTACAGTATAACTATGAAAGCAGGATGAATGATTGCTATAGCTTTAATGGTCACTTTATTTGTAACACTGTCAAATTTGTACATTAAAAACTAATTAAAGTATTTAGTTGCCATTTCTTACCTATATTACCCAAGTTTTCACAAGGAATGTTGATTATGTAAATGAGGTTTTCTCAGATCCAACTTAAAAATAACCAATCAGTTCAAAATATTTAAATTAATAAATTACTAATAATTTAATTTTTAAACCGTATAGTCATAAAAAGTTTTTATTCTTTAGAAACTCCAATTTGACCTTTGGGGAATATAAAGAACACACATGTATTCTAAAGCCAAAATTCAATTAGATGGCTTCATGCCAATTAATCAAAAAAAAGTAAGAGTTGTTCCTAAACCAACCCTTACTAAACCATTTGGCACACTAGTTTTTCCTTTTATATATACCCTTTGAAATACTCAGGCCAACAATTTTAATAAGTTGCATCCATATTAAGAGGTAATAAGTGCAAACGATCACATATTTAAGATATGATACTTGCCTGGCTACTACAAAAGTATTAAGGTTCTTCTATAGGAAACCGAGTTATTCATTATAGTAATGGTTTTGAAAAATTCCAGCACTACTACCAACTTAAATTTATCCATGTCTAAATTAAACAAGGACTTTATCTAACAATGTAATTACGAATTTATTTATAGAATGGTCTGTGTCTAATTCAACATTAAGTTAATTAAGGATCAAGTAATTTACAGGATCCACAAATGGCCAAAACTGAAATAAACACCTTTCCTCAATTGCCGCTCTCTGAATGTAGCTAAAAACAGGACTGATGTATCATTCCTGAAAGTCAACATATAAACCCAAACTTTGGCAGTTTTATCAAAATGTCCTTGATAATCAGTACTTCACTAGTTCTCAAAAACCTTACTGTTTTGTGTAAGGTTTTCAATACAGAAATAAAATACTCTTCAAATAATACATTTTAAAAGAAGATTAAATTTTGCAAAATTAAATAGCATAAATAAAGCATATTAACAATGTTTTGTTGACAACATGAAATAACCAATTTAAGAAAAATTGCAATGGACTAAAAAAAGACAAGAATGTCACAATGTGAGGCATATTTAAATCCTCACATATTACCGACCTTATAAAATCTACTAAAATATTTTAAAGTTACATTTAGAAAAAGAAATTGCAAAAATGCTTAAGACTATATGAGTCATCAGTTACACAGGCACTTCACATGTAAACAATCTACAGTACAACTGAAAAGATTTTGGCACCAACCTATAATACTAAAAGAATTTAATATAAAGCCAGAGTTCTGTTTTTTTTCTAGAAAACTAAGACCAAAGATTGAAGAAATCATGTCTAAACTAGCAGTGTATTAAAGAATTCACATAGAATTGTTTTCAATCAGTAAAAAATGTATTACCTTATCCAGATATTTACTAGTATGATGTAAAAAAAAATTAAACCTAATATGATTATTAAATTGAAATCACTTTTTACATTTAGTATCATTCTGCTTTTTAAAAAATAATCAAGGTTATCAATTGATTCAGGAAAAAGAGAATCTGAATATATCAAAAACTCTTATTAAATTAATCCAGTCTCCCTCCCAAAAAGAGTTTGGGCAATTCAAAGTTTAATTTTGATGTTTTACATATAATTTTTTAAATCCTAAGGCTTGATCTAATTAAACTATTTTTGATTGGATATTCTTATTCATGAAGTTGAGATATTTGAAATCACTTCAAATAAATGAAACTATACACTCATGATTTTAAAATGTTATATGAAGCCATAGATAGCTGAGATGCCTTGGTTGTAGGTAATTCAAGAAGAGCCTGAACTGTGACACCAACTTTCACAAGACCTCGTTCTTCCAAAATATGATGAGGTAAACAGAGTCTTTCCTGAAAAACAAAACATGATGTTGGAGCATTCATTTTTTAATTGCACAGTAAAACCTAAATGCAGCCAAAGTCCAGTATGAATTAACAGGTCAGAACCAGATTTTGAAAATATGCTTTCTGTAAAACTTCAAGTAAAAATGACATAATTCTATATTTCCTCTGATAAATATTCTAATTTAAAATGTGTTTAGATTCTTAGTTTATGTTAAGAAAAGGATTATAGAGATCGGCCTTGTCCAAAATGTTGTCACTTCAATCCCCTCCTCACTTTACACCTGACCATACCAAATGTTGAGGATGTGGAGGAACTAGAACTCTCCTACACTGCTGGTAGAAATGTAAAGTGGCACAACAGTTTGGAAGACAGTTTTGTACTGTCTTAAAAAAGTTAACTGTATGTCTACCGTAAGTTCCAGCTATTCCGTTGCTGGTTTACCCAAGATTAACGAAAGCATACAGCCATACAAAGACTTGTACACAAATGTTCATAGCAACTTTATCTGAAGTAGTCCCCAGTAATGCAAACAGGTCAATGGACCAACAAACAGGCATATACATAAGGAATAAACATGGATGACTCTTGTAGGAATCATGCTGAGTGAAAGAAGCCACAAAAATTGTATATATTATATGATTCTATTTATATAAACTCTAGAAAACGCAAACTAATTCAGAAAGACAGGAAGCAGATTATTGACTGCCTGGGGAGGAAAGGACTGCAAAGTGACAGGATGAAACTTTTAGGGGCAATGGACATGTTCACTATCTTGACTGTTGTGATGATTTCACAGTATATACATATGTCCAAACATATCAAACTGTACACTTTATGTGCACTTTATTGTATGTCAATTATATCTCAATAAAGCTGTTAAAAAAGAAAAAAATCCTAAAAGGGACCCAAAAAATTAAATGAGAAAAAATTGACTAAATTTTACCATTTCTGAATTTTGGAAAACACACTGAATCTAAAAACAAAACTCTTCAAACAAAAATGGCAAAACAGGAAAACATATATAAAGCAGTAAGTAATAGCAAAAAACCTTCCTCATTCTTCTATTTTCTAAGAGATTAAGAGTACAAAAAAGAACATAAAAAAAAATTTTTAAGAATTAAAATTTTAAAACATCATATTGTCAAGCATGTTGTTGTGTGCCATTAAGTCGATTGTGAATCATAGTGACTCACAGAGAGCAGCTGGTGAGTTCAAACCGCCAACCTTTTGATTAGCAGCCAAGCACTTAACCATTGCACCGCCAGCTCTCTTCTTGTCAAGCATAGAGAAGAGACAATTAGAGGAGAACAGCATGTAGTTTCCAAAATTACACAGTAATTCACCAGATTCTCAATACAATAAATTATATTTATTTACTGAGGAAAGAGGTGAAAGTGGAATCTATAGGCCATATTGTGACACTCTTCAAAAAAGAGCTTAATAAGCACAACTTAACTGTGATGGGCTAACGGTTACATGTCCTCTCAACAGTCAGTCATGTTGAGATTAGGTTTAGTGACTTCAAAAGAGCAGTATTTCGATTACACATGTTCATTATACATTTATAATATTGCTCAAATCCTTAATTTTATAGTATTGCAATTATTATGTGAAACGTAAGCCAATCCCTACAAATTTCAAAGTTTGTCCCATGTAGATATTATACGTTACTAAAATTTCCACTTTGACGTTGTAAGTAAAGTTTAAATCACTGTTTGAACTGAATACAAATCCTCCAATCGGAATCTCTTCATGGATTTACAAAAGAGTACAAATATCCTCCAGCAGGAAAAATGATAGTAACAATTGCATCAGAACCAAGTTGTAATATGGTCATTAGGCTATGTTTAATCAATGATGTGCATGATTAGAAAGCTTTTCCATATGTCACTGTTTTACAAAAGCAGCTTAAAATTAGATAGCTACTGCAGTTAAAGCTAGAATTTAGTAGAACATACCAAGGGAAGGTATTGTTTTCATGTTCAGGAAACATTATCCATTCCTATTGTGAAAAAGAAGAATCCTAGTTTGCATGTAATAAGTTAATATTTTAATGATCATTTTATTAGATAAATCACAATTACCTGTGAGACGCCCAACTTTTTACAAGCATCAAGAAAATTTTCTACATTTCTTCGACATTTTGCCATGCTCAGTTTAGGCTATAAAGTAAGGAAAAAATATATTTTTTCAGGCATTTACATATAGATACCATTTGAAACTGAAAGTTTAATTTATTGAGTTTATTATTTAAAAGCAGCTCTAAGAAGCTGTATCTTCCATTAGAAAACTTATGAACTGTACACAAAACTTACCACTGCTGGTGATGGTACATGAATACTAGCTACAGATCGTGGCCTTATATGATTGGCTAAATGGCAAAGAACAACCCCATCCATCAGTGCAGCTCCAATGTCATCAGGCAAAATTACTTTTAACCTGGACTCAAGATTCTATAAAGAAAATGGGCATAAATCACAGATTTTCTATCTAAACATGTTATATATTTATATTATTAACTAGGATATAATCCAAAAATATTAAAGAACATTGAAAATAAAACCCATACAATTTATTAATTTTCCAAGTTAAATCCATTTCTGCAAAGCAGATAGGAAAGGTCAAAATGACTTACATTTCGAAGTTGTCGTATTTGCTCTCGTTCTTCCCGTAAATGCTCCATCTTTCTTCTCATTGTAAATCCAGGATCTGCTGCCCCATATTCCTGGCGAGATGAGCGACTAAAAGCTATAAAAATAGACATTTCCTAACTTATTACAAAGCTAATTATGGAGCAACCATCAATGGAGAAAGAGGCATGATAAAAAGAAGCAGTACAAAACTACATAAAACACTATTACTTATTAAGACATTCTAAAATATGTTTACAAGAATATATTTGAACTCATTTGAATAATTGAAAATAATAGGGAAGAAAAGTATAATGGTTTCTACCACCCATATATGTTCTTATTTAAACATATGCTTTTAGAAAATTATGACCCAGATTAAAAATGATTATTGAACATAATTAAGCCTTTTATTATCTTTAAAGGAAAAGGAAACTATTCTTGAAGGTCAATACAGTTATTCAGGAATAAAAACTATAATTCAATACCTTGCAAAGTAACATGGATCCATTTTCTTTTGGGCTTGCCAAATGCGAAAAGATCCCTTTTTAAAACCACAATATAATGGAGTGCTATAATTTCAAACAGTGTTTGGTCTGCTGGCAGGGTGGTCATTCTAAGAGCAGTCACAGTAGAGTAGAAATAAGACTGCAGTATATTTAAGGCAAAAAGCTGAGGTTTCAGGAGCTTGAAGGTAAACAGGAAGAAAGAAATGGGGAATGGGAATTGGAAAGACAAATAAGGTTAAGAGAAAATTACTTTTTTGGAGAGGGGAAAGAATCCATGTGTACTTAAAACTATGGAATCAATCCCATTTAACTGGGAAATGAATTTCATTACATAACCAATAAGTTTTATTTACAGACTATATATTTACCTGATCTAGGCTTCAAGCCAAAGGGACCATGTGAGAAACCATCAGTTCTGTCATATTCCTAAAAACAGAAAATAAAACCTATTTTCAAAATAATCAAGGTAGTTATTCTTATCCATTCCAATTTTGAGAAGTACTTATTATTTCCATGATTAGTAGAGAAAGGTAACTTGCATTTTGATTCAAGTTAACACATTTCTATTTTAAAAAGTCTACAAATATTTGTTAATTCACTTGACTACAGGTCTCTCATAGTATAAGGAACGTGAAAAAGAAAAGGATTACTGAAGTATATAAAACAGATACTATTTTTTGAAACATGAACTAGCTTAAAGTCTCCCAAAAAAAGAAGTAAGCTTCACTGAAGGATAAGTGAATTCAGCAACATTTACTCAGCATCTACTATGAATGTGACATTTAGTGGATAATCTGAGGCAAATCTACGTATTCATACTAATAACAGGGGCTGCAGAGTGATAGATGACTATTCTCTTGTATTTGAATGCTGTGGAAAGAATGGTGGTATATTAAAAAAAAACTGACCTTGGAGGCAGAAAGTTTAGGTTTAAGTCTTGGGCAAAATATTTAATTTCTGTGTGACTGTTTTTTCATCTTTAAAATGGGGTTGTTGTGAAGCTTCAAGGGATAACTAAATGAAAGCACTTTGTAAACTGCAAGGTGGCAAAATGATGGAATCTTAGTAGCATCTTATTTAAACTGTGCAACAACTTTGTGAAATAGGTAGGGCCTGAAGGAGGTCTGGCGGCATAGTCGTTAAGCGCTTAGCTGTTAACTGAAAGGACGGAGGTTCGAACCCACCAGCCGCTCCATGGGAGAAAGATGTGATAGTCTGCTTCCATAAAGATTACAGCCTTGAAAAACCTACGGGGCAGTTCTACTCTGTCCTATAGGGTCCCTATGAGTCAAAACAGACTCAACAGCAATGGGTTTGATTTTGGGTTTTGATTACGCTTCAGTCACTTGTCTGCTATTTACTGACTAGGGTCTTGGGGAAAGTTAACAGTCTCTTCAGCTATAAGATGATGAGGATGATACCTAGCTCACGGTATTAGTTTTAAGTTCAAGTGTACAGGCAAGCACTTTGTTAACTACAAAGCACCATACTAACTGGTTTTACCATTTTCCTTTTCCAGATGAAATTGAAGTAATCAAATTTCTGTTGATTCTCTGAATCTTCTGTTGATTAACATGTGATATGCACTTCAAGTTGACCAGCTACCAAAACATATGCTCACCACCCTATCCATCCACAAGCTTTGTAGTATGTCTTCATTATTTTGGTTCAAGTATTCTAAATTCCTAGACTAAAATTTAACTTATCCAAATGCCAAGCAAAATGTATTATAAAACCAATATTTACTTGATAAAACTGGCATTAGTACTCTCACCTGTGAGCACAGATAATTAAATCATAAAGCAACTAGGCAAATAAGTAATCACATGTGTACATTTGTTATAACTGAAAGTAAAATAAAGGATTTATAAAAGCATGTGACAGAATAATTTTTAGGATATTCTAATTTAAATTATTTTCTAAAATAACATACCATTTTTCTGTCATATAAATAATGTGGAAACATGTTTACCACAGTAATGTCCGAGTCCATTTAAACATTTTATAATGACATTAACCAAAGCAATTCACCCAAAACAATATACAAATAATCCTGGCTTTTAAAAAAAGTAACAACCCCTATATATAATGAAATACTATCTATTTAATCAAAGTTATAAAGTGAATTTTGATCAATCAGACATTTAACCAAAGTCCTAAATTCACTAAATAAATGCATAATCATTTATTTACTAATGCCAATACACTTTCAGAATACTAAATAAGGTAATCTGAAGTAGTAACAATACTATTCAGAATATTTTAAATTTATCTCTTATTGTAAAGCAGTAAAGTTTAACTAAATTAGAACTATTAGTCATTGAAACCACTAGACCTTTTGCTTGAGATGTCACAGAAAGTGGCTTTCATATACTCCCTTCTCCCCATGCTCCCCCTTAGATCTATAATTCCAGGAAGTGTGTACCCTCTTGTCGATAGGAACAACCCACTGCAGGGATGTTTCTCGTGGAAAAAGGAAATTTCTTTTGCATTGCTTTCATGCCTAATTGGTTACAAGAAAAACCAAAGGCCATTGCACAATGCTGAATTACATTTTTGGAATGAAAATTTAACAGTTGTTCTTAAAATCTATCATTTATTTCAAAATATGGATGAATCAGAAAACACACATTTTATAAAGTAAATTCTTTTTCTGTGATCAATATGCATTTTCTAATAAGCAATTCCTAAACAAACAAGTAGTATTTAATTTATTATGAATATTTGTACAAAAAGATCGTGTTCTTAGAATTTTTATAGACTAGGTTTGTACAAACTAACCTACTATGATTTTAAAAATATGGGTAAATAAATTACACTGTCAAAAAAAAAAAAGATGAGGTTAGAGAGAAGAGACAAGGGAGAAGAAACCTACATACACATACATATAGAAGCAGAACTTGTACCTCAGATGATACTGGAGATTGTGGTGACATATAAGCATTATCACTGTCTTGCTAAAATATAAAAATAAAAAGATGAAAGATGAAATTAAAATACGAATGATGATTTAAACATATAAGGGGAAAATTGAAAATTGTTTTGATCAATTGTTAAAGGAAGAATCTGAAATATACCACCTAGCACCTTGCTACTGAAGTGTGGTCTGTGAACCATCAGTATCAGCACTCCCTGAGTGCTTGTTAGGAATGCAGAATCTCAGGCCCCATCCAAGACCTACTGAATCAGAATTTGCCTTTCAGTAAGATCCCCTTGTGATTTGTAAGTACTTTAAAGTTTGAGAAGTGTTGATCTACTCACATCATGTATTCCCCCATAAATATATTTCTTTTAAATTTCACAAATGAAAAACCTTTTCAATTTTCTTTAAAAAGTATCCGTGTGTTTAGATTAATCATGATGAGAAATCGCAATGATGTGTCACAATCTGAGACATGTATATGGAAGCATGCAAAAACTCCATCACCCCAAATAAGAAATTCACCTGGAAAATTATGTGTATCTAATATAGGCTTAGATACAATTGCAAAGAATTTCATTGCATAAAACAATGCCACATGGTCCATGATTTTTAAATGACTGTTCTACAGACTACCAAATATAAACATCTTGACATTTAACCTTGCATATACACACCATATATTATATTATACACATAAGATGGTATGTATAATAAACAAGTGTTTATTGAGTAGTTATTATATGTCAGGCACTGTGCTAGACTTGAGAGTATTGAAGTTTAGTAAAATATGCACCCCAGGATCTCTCAGTCTAGGGGAAAAACAGATACATATATACGGGTAATATAACATTCTCAGTACAACACAGAGCTATGTATAGCATATTATGAGGCATAGATAAGGGGCACTTGGGGGAATGGGGACTGGTGGTGGAGAAAGGCAATTCAGGATAATCTCCTGAGAAAGTAAAAACTGAGTCAACTAATTAAGGTTCAGTAAATGTTCACCAGAAAAAAAAAGGAAGGGAATTACATTCCAAGATGAGGGTACAACAGGAACAAAGCCACAGAAACAATAAATAGAAGGATGAGCACAGAAAACCTTTGACTACTTCTGTATTACTGGAGAGTGAGGTAAAAGGATGAGCAAGTTGTGAGATGAGGCTGGTATGGTTAAGCAGGAGCTACATCAAGAAGAATCTAGGATCTACCCACTAAGTGATGGGGAGACACTGAAGGTTTCTAAATAAGGGAATGGCCTGATCCTAAATGTGTTCTTTGAAACAATCATTCTGGCTACAATGAGGGCAACAGACTGGAGCGAGAGAGAAGAGCAAGGAAGCTACAGCAGTAGTTCAGGCAAGAAATGATCAGGGGCTGTGCCAGTCAGAAATAGTAGAAATGAAAGTGGGGAATGGATTTAAAATATTTCAGTACCAAACAAAACAAAAAAGCAGTAGATCTTGGTGACTTATTAGATGTTGAGGCCAACAGTAATAAAATGGGAACAAGGGAGGAGGGGAGAGGGGTCAAGCTGAACCTCCAGCTCAGAAGTTGGCAAACATTTTCTGTAAAAGGCCAGACAGTAAATATTTTAGGCTTTGTGGGTGATAAAAGTCACTGCGGCAACCACTCAACTCCGCTACTGTAGCACAAAAGCAGCCACAGACAAATGGGTGTGGCTGTTTTCCAATAAAACTTCACAAACCCAGGTGGTGGCTCACATTTGGCCCATGGGCTGTTGTTTGCCAACCCCTGCTCTAACTGAATGGTGGATTGTGATACCACTAATTCAGTAGTTCTCAATCTTGGCTGCACATTAAACTCACATGGGAAACTTTTAAAAATTTCATTGCCCAGGCCATTAAATTAGAGTATCTGGGTGTGAGACCCAGGCAACAGTATTTTTTAAAGCTCACCAGGTAATTTTAACACACAGGCAAGATTGAGAATCACTGCACCAACTGTTAGATACTAACAATGGATATATTCAGTAAGAGATTCTAAGCAGGTAGGAAAACAGATATAAGATGAGAAGGGTCTGAAGCTCAGGGGAAAATTCTGGACTTACAGACATAAATTTGAGATGCATCGGCAAGGACACAGGTGTTATTCTTTGAAATCTTAAGAGCTGATACAGCCACCCAAGAAACCATGAAGTGGACCATGCCCCAGGGAACAACAATATTAAGGGATAAATTGAGATTGGGGAATTGATTATGTTCACTTACATGTGTAAATACTATCAAATGTACCCACACAAAACATGGCATTCAGGCTTAACCATAGATACTAACAATGAATAGATGGTTAACTATTGGCATAACTGCCTATTATTTATCCCAGTAAATACACTAGAGAGGCCATGGAGAGAAGAATGGTCATCTAGGCTGGGGAAAGAAATCGTTTGTCTCTATTCATTATTTTTCCCTGCGTGATTCCATTTCCTAAAAATAAAGGAGTTTTCAGAAGCGGTGCCTAATACCCAACATCAGATTAACTACCAATACCCGCAACCAAAAATAAGGTTAATTATTCATGGTGATAAGAATGTTATCATTTCAATAATGCTAGTATGTGGCATGAAAAGTTAGAAATCTAATTTTAATTTTTAAAATAGTACACATAATTTATGGAAAGAGATTAATAAATCCCTAGAAAAATTCTCACTGGCTACCAGGTTGATTTAAGAAGATAAAAGATGGTCAAATACAACAAATTCAAATTAATGGATTACAGGACAAAGATGAATGATGCTAAAACTCCAAAACTAAACTATTAAAAAATTTGTTCTAAAGGACATGATTAAACTGAAAATTATATGATGATGTTCAAAGTTTTTATTACCAGAGAAACCTCATGCATTAAATCAATAGCAAAGAAACTGAAATATGGATTGCATTTTGCACTGATTGACTCAATTACACATGAAAAGGAAACATTTCAAATAATTGCTATTACCCTCTTTTCTCACCTCATCATTTTCATTGCCACTTGAACTCTTCCTTGATGATTTATACTGAAAAATATTTAAAACACATGTTTATTTTTCCTTGAACATATGAATTCTCTACTAGTAAACTATATGTGATGTTTATTCATATTTTGGTATTTTTATTAAATTACTGGATAAAACATGTAAGTAAATAACCATTTTAAATATAACTACTACTAATAGCTAACCATTATTATAGTGCTTTCTATGTGCAAGAGTACTTTACATGTATCAAGCAACATTTGTCTCCCCGTTTCCCATTTATTCAGGTTAGAAATCTATAGGTTGTCTTAAACTTCTCCTTTTCCTTAATTCATTATATCCATTATGCCATCAAGTCAATTCTTTTGCAATCTCACACTTATTCTTCTGAATTCCAGGGCTTTGAACCCGTTTGTTCTGGTTTGAATCCCTGCTGAGAATTTGCATTTCTAACAAGTTCCCTGCTGCGAATTTGCATTTCTAACAAGTTTGCAGGAAGTTATACATAAGAATCACCTGGGGATCTTGTTAAAGTGTAGATACTGATGCAGTATATCTGGGGAGGAAATACAAAATCTCAGTAGGGAACTTGTTAGAAATGCAAATTCTCAGCAGGGGTTCTAACTGGACAAACCAGTTTGAAACTCTGCTGAATTCTCACAATTACCACAATCTCTCAGGTCCTCATTGTCTCACACCTAGTCTATACTCTGGAGCACTGGTTGTGCTGTGGTTAAGAGCTCAGTTGCTAACCAAAAGGTCGGCAGTTCAAACCCACCAGCTGCTCCTTGGAAACCCTATGGGGCAGCAATTCTACCCTGTCCTATAGGGTCACTATGAGTCAGAATTGACTCGATGGCACAGATTTGGTTTGGATTTTGGTTTTAGTCTACATTCTCGCCATCTAAGATGTCAGAAACTATTCTAAGATTGTTTAGAAACCTACTAATTTCAGGTTAAAAAAAAGAAACACTACATTACTTATACTGACTGTACAATAATAATCATACTGTTACTAGCTAACAGTTATATTATTGCTGTTGTTGTTAGGAGCCGTCAAGTCGGTTCTGCCTCATAGCGACCCCATGTACAACAGAACAAAACACTTCCCAGTCCTGAGCCATCCTCACGATCGTTGCTATGTCTGAACCCAGTGATGCAGCCACTGTGTCAATCCATATAGTGTCTACTACAAGCCAAGCACTGATTGAAGTCCCTTATCTATATTAACTCATTTAATCTTCATAACAACCCTATGAGGTAAATACTATTATCATCCCCATTTTACACTGAGGCACAGAGGTAATATGCTTAATATAAAAAATGTTAATATGTGAAAAAAATTTCTTAGAATAAAAGAAATACAGTATGAAGCCACTAGAGTTCTTTCTTCTGATTCCTCCTCACTCTATGAGATCCTGTAAATCAGTGGTCGATTAACCTTCTCAAAACACTACTTGAAACTCATGACTTTCCTGTTGAAAAATCTTTTAAATTATGTCCAAACTTCTCTGCCTGGCGTTCAAGATTCTATTAAACAGCCCCCTTTACTATGTGGCTTTATCTTCCAAAAGCCTTGAAAAATACATGGCCTACTTGATATCTCACCCACAAACTGAGGGTTGCCTTATTATTGTTGTTGTTGTTGTTAGGTACCGTCAAGTAGGCTCTGACTCATAGTGACCCTATGTACAACAGAACAAAACACTGCCTAGTCCTGTGCCATTCTCATAATCGTTGCTATGTCTGAGCCCATTGTTGCAACCACTGTGTCAATCCACCTCGCTGAGGGTCTTCCTCTTTTTCGCTGACCCTCTAGTCTACATTATTGAAGCTATGTCTGGGATCAGCTGGAAAGAGTTCCCTGGTAGATTAATGATAGTCGTCATAATTCACAGGAGAGAAAATAGAGGACTGTATTCCTAGTATTTGTAGTCCCTAAGCGTTGCCTTGAAGAAGCCCTGGAGGCGCAGTGGTTAAAGCAATGGATTGTTAACTGAAAGGTCAGCGGTTCAAAACCACCAGTGGCTCCATGGAAGAAAGATGTGGCAGTCTGCTTCCATAGAGATTTACAACCTTGGAAACCCTATGGGGTTGCTATGAATTGGAAATGACTCAACCACAGTGGGTTTTTTGGGTAAGGGTTGCAAAGAATTACAAATACAAGGAACACATTCCTCCATTGTCTCTCCTGTGAATTATAACAACTATTATTAACCTACCAGGGAACTCCTTCCAGCTGATCCCAGACATAGCCTCAATATGTTTTGAACCCAGTGTTCCAGATAGTCACTGACCAAAGTTGGCATGTGAGAAGAAACCTATTTGTCATCCCTAGGCAAGATGCTCACCAAAGTCACTTATTCTTAGTTCCATTCTATTTCAATCAGAGTGATATTTGAGCCGAAAATAAACTACTATTTATTAAGAACTTACTTTGTAGCCAACACTGTTCTAAGCACTTTACATTATTAAATAATTTAATACCTACAAGGACTCTCTGAAGGAAGGTACTATTAGACTAATTTGTAGACAAAAAAATAAGCTTAGCAAGGTTAAGAGACTTGCCAAACTCACACAGTTAATAAGTATCCAAGTAAAGACTAGAACGCAACTGGTTTGATTCTAGATGTCCATGCTTATAACCACTATGTTATATTCCTATCTCTAAATCTTAAATGATTAGTAGGAATTTGCTAGGAATAAAATGGCTAATGGGCATTCCCAGAGAGGTGAAGCACAAAGGAATAAAAGACTACAGTCTGTGCAGAAAACAAAGAGAAGTTCAGTGTGGCTAGAAAGGAGAGTGAATTGTGGCAGGTATTAAACAAAGATAAGGGATGGCCCATGATGCTTTAATCATGAAAATAATGTCAGTTCTAAATAACAGCACTGACTTAATTTAGAGTGTAATATCTCAATCTTATAATGTTTTTGAAATCTTAGGGAAAAAACTGACATACTCAATTTTTGCAGTATCCTAACGCTGACATCTTGTGACTACTGAAGAGAACTACATTATCTCCTTGAAACATTTCCCACACAAAAATATTTAACTTCAGTAAAATATTTAACTTCAGTAAACCACTACTGAAGAAGAAGAATAAAGAAGGACTCACACTACCTGACCTCAGAACCTACTATACAGCTACGGTACTCAAAACAGCCTGGTACTGGTACAACAACAGATACATTGACCAA